AATTTGTTGCTGCTACTACTCATGATAAGAAGCTATATTACGTATTGTGAATCCTTTAGTTTCAATTTTTTGCGACGATATTAAAAGACGAACTTACCTTATGGTTCGAAGGTATGTAGACCAAGGTTGTATGATATATTGTCACGGTCTCCTTTCGTTGTAAATAACTTGTTTGATATTGTTTTCGCAACTTGCTCATATCGCGAGGTAGGCCAGACAAGGTGCGTTATTCGAAGCCTTTCTACAAGCATGATTGAGTTGATAAAAGAAGTTTTACACCTTAGGTTTTTTTTTATACACTGAATTTATAAAAAAGTTACTTTTCTTGAATTGCTGATAATCCTTTTCTTCTCGTAAACACATTCCAATAGCAATATAAGTCTAAATTTTATCAACATAGCTTTTTAAATGTTTTTTTATGATTTTCTTTTGCCCAGCCACGCAAAATTGATTCATTCATCACCCTTGTAGTCCAATAGTTAGTATTATCTGTCATATGGACGGCTATGCTCGATGCCTATCTCTTTTGGTATAATAATGAAATTTTATTCCATTTCGTTTTCCCATATTATTTTGTGTTTTACTAATCCATCACTGTTGCCTTGATGTCTGAATCCAGCAATGTAATGATAACTGTTTATCACATTCTTATCTGATACCTCTTGAACCCATGTTTTAATGTTTTTCTAGGAGTGCCTTTTAGCTGACCAACTAAGAATATTTTACCCTGATTTTATTACAGAAACCAATCAGCATCGATTTTACGGGCATAATCAATTTGTTTTGCAAATTGTCTCTATTATGTTAGCACTATGGAACTGTCTTATAATATCATAATATCATAATTACTAATTTAAATATGCATAATTTTCCAAGAACTACACATTAGTTTATAAAAACATACCTGAGTAGCATTAAACTGCTTTACACATTCGTTATAAATAATAGGAATAGTCTTTCATTTGACAAGCATAAAAGTAAAAATATTACATTTATACAAAAATCAAGTAGTTACATGTGTCTATACAGAATTGTATCTGACGGATACATAGTTTAATGCAATGAAGGCCAGAGTCCACTGAATAAATGAAGAACATTGTGCAGGACAATTCATTTAAAGAATATATGCCCTATTCCCCTCAAACGACTCAAATTCTATTATTTTTATTTTGGCGTCTTTGCGGCCTAATGAGCTTGATGTTACCATTAGATCTCACAAGTCTCTGGACCTCATAAGATCCAAATAATTCACGTTTTTTGCAGGATAGCTTACTACCTTACTTGTCATTGGCGCAATATTCATGGATTTCCTATATTCCTACAACCTTAATAAGCGACTTTGATTATTATCTTTATTAGGTTACTTATTTTTTATTCCTTTAAGTTCATGCTATGACTCATTTTTCTTTTACATTTTTGGAACCTTTCAGCTGTACATAATCTAAATGGCGTGACATTATATGGCAATCTGATTCGCTGTAACTTCTCAAAACATTTCCACATTAAAATATCTGCACCCGAGCACCAGACAAAAATGTCCACTGAAAATAATTCTGTCTTTAATGGCACGACTTCAAATGGACTTCATACTGCCTCCACAAATGACGCGAGTTCAACTACCCGAAGTTATTCCAATCATAGATTACATCGATACAAGCGGGCTTTTTCTCGAAACCATCAAAATATCTACCCCCCGAGCTCCGTGCTGCACGTCTCTAATCTGCCCGAATCAACTACTGAGACAGAACTGTTAGATGTCTTTCAAGTAGTCTCAGGTCATCCTGTCATCAATTTAAAAATGATGGCGTTAGTATCATCTAGACCCCCTCGAATTTGGATTTGTCGATGCACTTTGATTTTTTTTTAACTACATAATATCTAGATTTCCTGGCTTCATGCCTTTCCTCTTGCTTAATCTCGGAGTTAATGCTGACGAGATTTCAACAAAATGATTTATTAACTAGTGCTCTTGATGCTATTCTAGATTGATAATAACCATACTTCTTTTGCCATAGCCCCCCTCGTCTCATTAGTCCAAAACATGTTTCTCATCCAACACTTATCCAAAGATGTATGACTAGAAGGAATACAAAATTTAAAGGGCCTTGCGCTTTTAAAAAAATGTGCAAATGCATAAAGATTGAATATACACAAATTGCCAGGACAATAATGTGAAATAATATCAGTGCTGGTAACCTAGGTACTAAGGCTCACGTG